CAGCTCTAATACCAAAGCTGATTTTTAGAAAATTTGAACATGTAAATCCACCCTATCCATAGTATAGTGTCTCTAAAACTTTATGTTAGTCATTTTAAAATAATATAACTATTAAAAAAGTAACTGCTATCAATGTTCTGAAATAAGTTAAAACATTTAAAAATATGAACACTGTAGTTTAAAAGAAAGAAACGGTGGGAAGGAAAAGTAGAGAAAGAAATGCCAATTCCAGCCCAAAGCTTTATTTGCCAAGTTTCCTTAGAATGACTTTTAGCAATTTACGAATTCTTGTAAACAGAATGTATAAGGAAATACTGAAACACTTTTGCCTAAAGTGGCATTATTGACTGCTAGTGTCATGCTACTGTAATGTAATAAATTCTTAAATTGTTGTAAAGTGCTGTTTTTGCCTTAAAATTTTATTTTGCGTGTCTTGAAAACTATAGTATTAAAGGTATTGATACTGTGCCAATGCTGGGCATGCATGGCATGAGACAAACTGTTTCATTTTTACAAACTTGTAATAAAACTATGCAAGTGTTTATTAAAAGAACACAAAATAAAAAAAGTTATGGGATTAAAAAAAGTTATGGGGTGAAAAAGTTATGGGATAAAAAATGTAAAAAAGTTGTGGCAAAAAACCCTGTGGCAAAAAAGTAGAAAAAAGTTTCATGAAAAGTTGCAAAAAAATTATGAAAAAGAAGTTATGGGATTTAAAAAACAAGTCATGGGATAAAAATAAAAATTAAAAGCAGACCCCTGTCAGCAAAGCCTGGAGAAGCGGGGCTAGAGTCTCCACCGCCACCGTGTCCCTACCACCACTTTCCAGTCACCCCTTTACAATTAGGGTAGCAAGACAAGAACTCTGTCTAACGGGGAAAGACAAACAGACTCTTTGCCACCTTGACCAGGGCTGAGTCTTTAAATTTCCGGATGACGATGATTGTTATTTAAGAGCCAGAGGCTGGTGGAGTTGGTTTGTTTGGAGGAGGCCTGATGGCCTTTCTCTCACCATAGCAACTTTTCCCTTAGGGGGGCTCCCAGCTTCTTATTCAGAGAGGTAGCTGAGGCAGGACAGTGGGGCTAACTGTGGACCAGGCGAGGACATGGGCTGCTGGGGTGGCCCCCCTTCCCCGGTGTACATACTGTGTCTGTGTAACGTTTTGTATATAAGATATAGGGTAGAGCTGCCCCTGTGTCTTAACTAGGCTGTGGTTGGAACTGGCACATGGGGAGGAGGTTCTAATGATTATTTGTGGCTGGGAAACTTATTTATTGCTAGCACAGGACAGAGGAAGGAGGCGGGGATGGGGTCGTGGCTCCCTGGTGATGC